TAACAAATAAAAATAGATAAAAAAAAGATTAAATGGGGTGGGTGTGGGTGTAGGCGCAAAAAGAAAGACTCACATTCACACCCCCACCCAAGGGAATCCTATGGAATCCAAGGGAATCTTATGGAATTCTGTGGAATCCAAGGGAATTCTATGGAATCCGAGAGGGAATCCAAGGGAATTTTATGGAATTCCAGGGAATCCGAGGGAATTCGATGGAATTTTAGGGAATTCAAGAAAGGCATGGGACTTCTGGAATTCAAGATTCCTGGATTCCGCTATTCACCCCTTGGAGTAACTACATACTTCGGTACGATTTTTCGAATGAATATTTATGCCTATTTATTACTATCAATCACCTTAGTAAATGGTCTTGATATTTTTTTTCATTTCTTCCGTTCCTGTTTGATGATATCGATAAACACGTGCATCTACCATACTATGAGTATATATATGCATTTTTAAAACGGCAATCGACAAATAGTTTGTGTTATTACTGTAGAACGACAAAGTATCTGTCAAGCTTTTATCGATTTCTATGGATTCACTTCCATCCACTCGTGTTGAATCGAGTAAGGATTTGATTTGTCCGATTACACTTCAAATTTTCCGTGATCCGGTTTTGGCCGGGGATGGCCATGTATATGAATGCACTGCAATCGTACGATGGATTTCTGAGCATGGAATTAGTCCGCTCACTAGGGAGCCACTGCGAATTACGGATTTACAACCTGATGATCCTATAAGAAACCTAGCTGCACAACATCGAAAATCAACAATTTCTTATAATGTACATGATGAAATCGTGATCTTCCCACCATCACAACAAGTTTCTTCCAATATCAATCGGATAATTCCAGTTTTTGGACGATCCAACTAGATATGGCACTTTAACTTTAACTTTACTTTGATAAAGTGGTTAAAGTTTAAAGTCTGACTTTAACTTTAAGAGTTAAAGTTAAAGTAAGAACACTTTAATACTTTAACTTTAACTTTCAAAGTTAAAGTAGGTATCTAAAGGATGTCCTACATGATTATTCTTGATTAGTCCCTTAAAATTATCTTCATATATGTGCTAAAGAAATTATTTCTACCAAAAATAGAGGAAGATCAGATTAAACGAAAGTAAAATTACAGTAGTTCGAAACAATAAAAAGATAGTCTATGTAACTTTGTAGACTCTTTCTAGAGATAGTCCTTGTCGCTTTTTACGACTTGTCAGAAAGTAATATCTTTGACTTTATGAGATTTCTCTATAAATAAGTCATATAGACCTAGAAACGTTGTAGAGATCGTCCTGGATAGCTGCCATAAAATGGATGAGGATCGTATCGGATGAACCCTAAAAAGTATTGAGCAGCAGCCCGAGTCCTTCATAAAAAGTTATAAGAATCATCTCTACAGAGACTTTATGTAACAACAAAAGTGTAGCGTCTAACAATTGCCTTTATTTTAAATCAATCGCTCGCTTTTTATACATCGTCTCTCCCCTAGGAAAGGAGAATATCTATCGAGACAGCAGCAAACAGATACATCAGTGTATACATATACTCATACAGGGAAAAGCACATAAAGAGAAGATAGATGAGAGTAGGGGTGAGAATTTATTGTTATTGTTATAAATAAAAGATAAATAACAAATAACTTGTTTTCTGGAAAAAGTTTTGTCTCACCTTGTTGTATATCTTAATTGCACCCGTTATTTATGCTTATGCTTTAGAACGAATTTCTAACTTCTATAGTGTTGACTCATATGATATAATCACGATAGACAGCGAGCTGAGTTTTCAGAAAAAAAAAGTTATTTGTTATTTATCTGTTATTTATAACAAATAACTATAGAAAAAAGTTATTGTTATTTGTAACAATAACATTTTTTGTTATTGTTATTTATGACAACAAGATAACAATAACTTCTCACCCCTAGATGAGAGTAAACAGCAGAAATGACAACAGTGTACAATGCATTGTTAGTTGAAGAGATATGTAATCAGAGGCAAACAGAGAGAGAGATGAAAAGCACACATATGAGTGATAAATGATGAAGAGTCTGTACATCTGTTGCCACACGTTAACTAGTTATAAAATCCATTATCCAACAGCTCTCAGAAAGTTATTGGAATTATTATCCATTTCAAATTAAAAGAAGGGTGAGTATTTTTGGAATAATTTTCGATAAGAACTAGATATAGATCTGCGATTTTCACCGTTTAAAAGAGAAAATGAAACTGCATCGAATCTTGAATACCAGACTTGTCTGACAAGTTTTCTCAGGACTACCCGCCAAGTTTCTAAAACAGAATTGTGTAATGTAAATGTTTTGGAATTTTATTTTTCAATAGTGCAACAGAATCGTTAACTAAAGTTCAATAATCTGTATAAGTTCGGCGTTAAAAGGCTTAGCCAATCAAGAGTTATGAATGTTTTACTAAACGTTTTCGGCAGATTTTTAACAAAAAATTGACATTTTTTCTAATTTTTTGACGAAAAATCCACTTTCTAAACCTACTAATAAGCCTCGATTTTTTAAAAAACTAGGCGGGTGGCTTTGAGAAAACTTGTCAGAAAAGTCTGGTATTCAAGATTCGATGCAGTTTCATTTTCTCTTTTTAACGGTGAAAACCACAGATCTATATCTAGTCCCTATCGAAAATTATTCCAAAAATACTCACCCTTCCTTTAATTTGAAATGGATATTAGTATAGAGAAGCTGCCGTAAGCTACATGTTGCTTATTAATCTCCGATTTATCGGTTCAGATTCTTGAAGAGATCGATTTAAATAGTTCCTCAAATAACAAATATAATCGGACTGTTCGATATTTTAACAATGTTTACATTATCAAGGCGTACTTTGATTTGGCTGTCTCACAGTTATTATCGAAGGGGTATTACCGTTATGAGCTAAAGGTATAGTTGTGAACTTGATTTTCTTGTCAGACGAAACCTGTTTTGCGAACATAGTAATTTGCAATAAAATGAAAGAAATGATGTCCTCAATGAGTAAGTAATAGTTGTTAATCCGATCTGCTCAAAGAGCAATGGCGAAGTTAGTAGTACGCGATGCGGTGACTGCCATCCACTAACAAGATTTTTTCCATTTTTTCGTAATAGAAACGAAAAGAAGAGGGTGAGTTGCCTTGGATAGGTTCTGAAAACTGGTTTTTGAGTATGATATGATCGCCATCCTTCACTGATTTTCTGGATCCGCCACTGTCAAAGAATAACATGATCTGGTGATTCATTGGATGGAGGTCTATGTTATGTTGATTCATTAACAACTTTCTTGCGTGGAAACAAACAAATACTCCTTATTATAATGTACCATGATTGAAATAAAAATTGAATATTCAAATTGATCTTTGTTAAATTGTTATTTATGAAAAATGGAGGATGATGAATTACCATCGTAATCTATATCACGTCCATCGTTCCGTCGAAATGCTCACAAAAAAATGGTGTCTGAGAATGCAAATACTGCTATGGATTCATCTTCAGAAACTCGAACAAAAAAAGATAAACTAACATCAACAACAACAAAACACGTTATCAAACCAACAAAGCAATTCAATTCTAGAAAGAAAAAGCCCATTATTCGTCCAATGTCCAAACCCAGAAGATTAGCAACAACTGTTGTTCAATTAGATAGTACAGATGATGATATGCATGACGATCATGATCGAACAACAACAGAACAATCAGGTTTAAATAATTCTAATGCACACGAAATTAATGATCAGGATAAAGAAACAGGTGTTGAACTTAATCGTTCATTTGCTAGTGGTGCAACCACTAACGATGAACCAGGTGAACATCAAAAGAATGTGAAGAAAACTACAACAAAATCGAAGCAAGATGTATTGCAATACTTCGTGGAACAAGATTCTGGAGAATTAAAATGTATTTTATGTTCGGATTCTTTGAAAGTAAATATATTTTTCTTTCCACTAGTTCCTAGGCTGTCTGTTCATTGAACGAAGTTTTCACTTGTCAATATGTCCCGTCTTTTTTGTGATAATTAAAGTAATTAATTTCATAAAGTGTAGTCGCCAACATGTCCCATCCCATCCCTTTGTTATTATGAAAAATTTACGTAAACGTTAAGATCTTGGCTAGAACTAGCTTTATGTACCCAATATTGATCAGATATTTTCGTACTGAGATTGAATAGTCCAATGCAGAGATGGAACCGGTACCGGTTACCGGCCGGTCCGGTCCGGTCCGGTCCGGTACCGGTACGGATTTCAGACCGGCCGGTCTACCGGTAGACCGGCCGGTCGCCGGTAGACCGGTCGATTACCGGTAGACCGGTCGTGACCGGTAGACCGGCCGGTAACCGGTAGACCGGTCTATCTTTTTTCTTTCCTGGTTTTATTGCATAAACTAGTTAAATCTGCGAAATCTTGATGCTATCTTGTACAGAATACATATGAAAATTTCGGTGGAAGTCGATTGCCTGAACTATCACTATCGAAAAGATAGAATTTATATTGGTAAAAATTGTGTACCGGCCGGTCTACCGGTAGACCGGCCGGTCACCGGTAGACCGGCCGGTCACCGGTAGACCGGTCGATTACCGGTAGACCGGTCAATTGCCGGTAGACCGGTCGAACCGGTAGACCGGCTGGCCCGGTCCGGTCTGACCTGTTTGGACCGGTACCGATACCCCTCTTCAAAAATCCAGACCGGTTCCATCTCTGGTTCAATGAGAACGATGCAGGTGGCTTAATACTTCGTGAAACACGAATTAAAAGGAGTGTTGAAGTATATAGGAATAAAAATTTGCACCCTTCGCAGGTTTTCTACCTCGAGACCTTGTCAGAAACGTTGGAAATAGTCGCTCTTCTCTCCCTTCCCATCACAAACCATAACAGACACCACAGTATTTCTTGATTTTCAATGTAAATAAGTAGCTCGATTGTGTTTCACATTTTGAACCCACAGGAATCACACTAACAGCTTTTTAGTGGATATCAGTACAAAAGCAAGAATAGTTGTTCATTTGAGTAATTTTGAAAGAAAGATTCATACCTTAAACTAGTTTGAAACCATCTATTGGATCGAAATCATAAATAAATGAAGTATATGAATATCTTATTTCTTGCGGAAAACTAACTTTCGACTAAACCCAAAACTGATAGTATTCAATGCATTATTGAGAGCGGATGGAAAACTGTTGAATTTCTCTTGAGAATTTTCTCTTTTTAACGAACAGTGATTCAAAAATAGGATATTTTTATGCAGTATTTGGCGAACTTCTACGCAGATAAAAGTGAACGTCGGCGTAGATTTGATTTTTTTTTGGAAAATAGATTTCGCAATAGACAAAAGATTTCTACGAAAGCCTTTGGTTAGCAAAGAAAAACGTACTCAATATAACTGTTAGTTTTGCAGAGAAACAAACTACAGTATATATCAAAAAAAATGGGGTAAATATAAACTAATACCTAAAAATATAGCAATCTGTATCTAATTTTAAAATAAATCTATATCTAATATAGGATGAATTTATATCTAATTAAGAAAATAATATATCTAATTTTAAAATTTATTTATATCTAATTTTAAAATTTATTTATATCTAATTTATTAAGTAACATTACCTAACAACACAAAGTTATATCTAATTAATAATTAAAGTAATAGAAAAAAATAAAGATACAATTATCAATTATTTACAAAAATAACACAGCAAAAAAAAGAAAACGATTGCACAATTAATGCTTTTTTAGCTTCAACAGAGTCTATTGAATCTGTTTTATCATTATCTGATAATGCTGCTGCCATTTTTTTAATAGTATATTTTTTTATATTTTTTTAAACTAACTTTTTTCTTATCACTTATCGTCATTCCTAGCTCATATATACTCTTTCAATTAATTGATAAGTACTAATCAATTATAGATTACGTTCAAATTAATTAGATAATTCGATAAATTGATTGATAGTTATTTGGTAAAAGTGATAATATATTAAATTAAAAGACAGAACATTTTTTAATTCAGAAATTTAATTGATTTAAAAGATGTTTAATTAAAAAATTAGATTAAACAATTTTTTAAAAGTATTCTTTCACCGAAATAGATACTACTATATTAAGTTAGGAAATATTCATATAATTTAGATACAGATTGCTATATTTTTAGCTATTAGATTAAATGCATGCCAAAAAAAATTACTGATCTTATGTTTCCTTTTATTAGATGAGTTTTACTTTAAATTCATTCAAAATAATATGTCGTTAAATAGCTATCAACATTATTTGCCTTCGTATATGATCAGTCAATCAAAGCTAGTTTCGTTTAAAGAGCCGAGCGGATGATCGTAAATGACGACGTAGGAAATAGTTTAATACCTTTTTCTTGGTGGTACAACATCTGAAAAACAATAGACTGCAGATCTAATACGGCATTTGGTTTTGAATATGATTATATAATTTGAGTTCTGGCTTAAACTTATACAGATTTATTTCGAAAAATATATTTCGCTTGGGAGGAGTAATTATAGAATTCTACTTTGTTGGTTTTTCTTTTTTTTTTCAGCTATTTCCAGCAAAAAGTGCATCATCCGATTCAAATTTACGAAGTCATTTAGGACATATTCATAAACTTGAAGAGTTTCTTTATCCTTCTCAGCGAAATCAAAAACCATTAAAAGAACAAAAAATATCTTTTCAACATGAAAACAATCTAGATTCAGCTGCTATTAATGCAATTATACAAGATTCTCATATCTTTAATCTCTTTCGAAAACCTGGCATGAAAAAGTTTCTGTCATTGGCTACACCTGGTTATCGTGGTCCAAATAGACGAACGGTTGTTAAACGTTTAAAATCTATGTATAAACAACGTCGATCATCAATTCGACAAGAATTATCTATTGTTTCCGATATTGCTTTATCAGTCGATCTTTGGCAGTGTTCGTCGTGCCCATTTCATATGTTTATCTGCTCATTATTATGATAAACACTACAAACCACATTTTAGTATTATTGCATTTCGAAGATTCATTGGCACTCAGTCTGGTGATCGACTTGAAGATTTTATAATTAATGAAATGGAAAAGCTTGGTATACAATCAAAAATATGTTCTTTAACAACAGATAATGGAAGTGATATACGATTAGCATCACAAAACAAATCAAAATTTGGAATAAGAATTTCCTGTTTCTTACACATTTTAAACTTGGTTGTTGGTAATGGACTTTGGTTCTTTGATATGCCAGTAAAAAAAAGGTAGGAGATCGTTTATTCACAGATAATATACAGGCAGAGACATGAGATAACAGGAAAAATGGATAATGATATTAGAATCATTCTTTTTGCATAATATAAATAATCAAAAAAATTTTATATCATCATGATTTTTTACGCTAATAGATTTTTAAACAAGTTTAGAATTTTGTTGCGCATCAGTAAAAAATTAGTCTTATTGAGTGGTGCTATATTTAGACATTTACATCAATTGCATTACAAGATGCAGATAAATATCGATATTTTTGCTAGCCGAATGTGTTTTACGTCTATAATTGATTCAAATCTTTCATATAGTGTTACCGCAACTAAACTTGCGTTTCGTCTATAGAGAAAATGGCATAGTAGAAGGTTCATAAGAACCTTTATTTAATAATCTACGTATAAAATAATAGTTTTTCAAATGTATTCATTTTTTTTATGTCTGTCAAAGAAGAAACATATAATTATATGATAAAAATTTGTTTAATATTAGTTCTGTCTAAACATAATCGAATCATATTAAACTGAATTAAAATATGAAATTTTCTTCAGGATGCAAGAAAAGATCATTGAAATCAATAAAATCTATATACGAGAGAGTTTTAACACCAAAACTGCTTATTTCATAGTTGATTTATTCAAATAGCTTTCGTTTTATCATATTAGGATCTTCATAAATGTCTCAAAACTTTTCTTCTATTCAATTCACCAAATTTTAATACAAAGCTAAAAGAGACTTTCA